TTGTGCGGATTAATCCTCCTGAAGGTACTCCTTACTTCTGCTGAGGTCACGCTGAGATGCTCTTCATCCGGTGGTGAGGTGAGTCTGGTGCTGGGTGGTCTGTTCGGGTCTTCAAAGCGTGCATAGAACTTGTTGAGGGCATCAGGCAGAGATGGGTCTTTGGTTCGTGTTCGTGCTGTTTGGCGTATTGTTTTTATGCTATTAGTGCTTAGCATAATTTTAGTTGATTTTTTTTTCATATCTTAGATCTTATTACTGTTTTTTTATTTATTTATTTATTTTATTTTTATTTATTTATTTTATTTTATTGTGGGATGTAATTGGGACCCTGTGTACATAATCTCATTCCACCACATTTACCACATGTGGTGTGTATGAAAAATAAATCTCTAACTTTGACTGACTCTGATAACAATAAAAGGAAGAATAAAGTAAACATTTGTGTTGATTCATTAATTTTTTTAAATTCTCTTTCTCTTCTTAATGGTTGTTATAATAAAGCAACTTTGAATTTGACTTTAATGATAAAAAGCTTGGGCAGCACGGTGGTGCAGCTGGTAGAGCTGCTGCCTCTCAGCGAGCAGGTCCCTGGTTCAAACCCCGGTCCAGGGGCCGTTCTGGGTGGAGTTTGCATGTTCTCTCCGTGCATGCGTGGGTTTTCTCCGGGTACTCCAGTTTCCTCCCACAGACCAAATACATGTATGTAAGGCTGATTGGTAACTCTAAATTGTCTCTAGGTGTGAGTGAGAGAGTGAATGGTTGTTTGTCTCGTTTGTCTCTATGTGTCCCTGTGATGGACTGGAGACCTGTCCAGGGTGTCCCCCGCCCCTCGCACAGTGATTGCTGGACATGGGCACCGGTGACCCAAAATGGAGTAAGCGGGTAAAGATAATGGATGGATGGATTAAAAGCTCTCCTTCCTCCTCCTGAACGACAGGTGGCGCTACAAACATCCGGCTTCCACCCGTACGTCATGACGTCATATGGGTGTACGTAGTGGAAGCAGGGCGCTTGTCTGCTGGCGGCAGGTTTAAAGAGTAAATTTGAGGGTGAAGTTAAAACTTCAGGATTAGGAGGGAAAATATATCCGGATTAAAGAGAATAATTCGATTTAAAGAGATGTCTAAAGACAGGTAAGATTATTTATGAATTTTTAGTTTTTATATATTTTTTAAATGTGTCATTTGAATAATGTAATCCTGGAGAGAAAGAGTTTTTACTGTTCAATTTGTCAGATTAACTCAGATTAAATTAATTTGTTTTTATGTAGTTGATTAATTCCGGTAATGTTTTTGTAAGAAATGAGTTTATTTAAGTTAACTTTTTAAAATCTAACGTTAAAGAAGCGCCTTTTCCTCCGTCAGCTCTGAACTCTTCTTCTACGGTTTTATTAGCTGTAGTTTGTTCAGCTCTTCTGTTTTATTAGCCAACTAGTTTAATCTCGTGTTAATCTGAGGAGAGGTAAGGATTATTGTTGTTGGTTTTAGAGGTAAAGTTTTGGCGGTTCTCAGGTCCAGGATGGCGGGCGGAGAAAGGGACGGGAGTCCGGTTCTGGAGGTTCTGTAGGGTTTAGCTTCCGGTTCTTAAAGGTTCTGACCCTTTGCTTCCATCCGTGCAGCAGCGTGGTGCCCCTGCAGGACCTGTCCTGGACCAGCCTGAGGGGGGGCAGGATCAGGACCAAACGCCGGTCCAGGGACCTCCTGGGTCCGGACTCCGAGTACACCCCAACAGAGTCCGTCCAGCGGCTCCCGCCTCCTCACAAAGTCCCGCTGCTGGTCAGCAGAGGCAAGGAGAACCAGTTTGTGCTGGCTCGGAGGTCCAGGAGGACCAGAGAGTCCACTTCAGGTAGGAACTCCCCATAGCCGGCCCCAGCTGCAGCTGGACTTCGAACAGGATCACGATTTTCTGGTTTCTCCTCTCAGGTGTCTCCTGGAACCATCTACCTGAAGAACTGCTCCTCAGGATCTACCTGTACCTGCCCCTCCAGGACCTGCTCAGGGTCTCTGGGGTCTGCAGGCGCTGGAACCGCTTGGCGTAAGAAAGACTCTTCCTTATCGGGTCCAGATCTAAATGATCCGTTTATTTTGTTTTAATCTGGCAGTTCTGGGACCCAGTGGAGCGGATTAATGAAACCTGACGAGACACCAAACCAGGGTCTGGATCCTGAGGGTCTGGATCCTGAGGGTCTGGGTCCTGAGGGTCTGGGTCCTGAGGGTCTGGGTCCTGAGGGTCTGGATCCTGAGGGTCTGGGTCCTGAGGGTCTGGGTCTTGAGGGTCTGGGTCCCGGACATTACACAAACCAAATTGGTGGAACATGATTGGTCCTGGTTCTGATCCGGTTTTATTTTTTTTTTAAGTCCTTGTTGCTGGGATTAACTCCAGATTAAGGTTCTGGTTCTGTCCTGGTTTCAGGTTTGACGAGTCTCTGTGGCACAGTGTGGACCTGGAGGGCCTGACCCACATGGGCCTGGCTCTGCAGCAGGTTTTGAAGACCCGGGTCCGCAGGCTGCGCTGTCCTCGAGCGTTTGTTGAAGACCTGCAGTTCACAGGGTCCAGGTGAGTTCTGGTTGGTGTTATTGATGTTCTGACTGGTTCTGCTGGGTTCTGATTGGTTCTGTGTGTCCAGCCCGCTGCAGATAGTCGAACTGGACCTGTCCAGTTCCGTCATCCCGACCTGGGTTCTGCAGAACCTGCTGCGGTGCTGCAGACAGCTGCAGTACCTGAGCCTGGAGGGGCTGCAGCTGTCTGATGACATCATCAGGTACCGGCTCAGTAACAGTGGCTGTGAACGGTCGGTCCAATTGGGTCGGAACCAGCTGACGATGGTGTTCTTGTCCCTCAGGTGCCTGTTGAAGAACCCGGGCCTGCTGCAGCTGAACCTGGGCGGCTGCTCCAACATGTCCGCCGGTGCCGTGGGGGCCCTGCTCCGGTCTTGCTGGAGGTCGGTCCCGTCAGACCCGGGTCTCGATGGTTCTGGTGGGTCACTTAGCCCTTGTGTTCTGACTCCTCAGGTTGAAGCAGCTGAACATGTCGTGGTGCAGCTTCAGCAGCGAGCACGTCCAGAACCTGGTCCAGAACCTGAGCTCCGCAGTGTCGGACCTGAACCTGAGCGGCTACAGAGACACTCTGACTCTGGACGGTAATTATGAAGCCCAAGGTTCTGTTTGGACCCGGGTCTACTGGTTTGGTAATCCGAGATTGTTTTTCAGACGTGAAGGTTCTGGTGGCCAGATGTCCAAACATCCAGACCCTAGACCTGAGGTGAGAGCACGTTTTAACAGTAAACATCTTACCTGCTGCTGAAGGACTTTAACACGCGTGAAGTCCTGAATCTGTCAAGTGACCCGTTGAGAGATGAGCCGGGTCACTTCCTGGTTCTGATGGTCCGATAGGAGGTTCTGATCAAAGGTCTGCGTGTGTTTCAGTGACAGCACTCTGCTGACAGCTGACGTCCTCCCGGTCCTCCAGCAGCTGAAGGTTCTGGTCCATTTGTCTCTGAGTCGGTGCTACCACCTCCACCTGGCTGCTCTTAGGTAAGTTCACCTCTGACGGGTCGACCCGCTTACCAGCCCTGAACAGAACCAAAGTTCTAGAGGTGCCGACTGATGCTTTTCTTTACGCTCCTCTGGTCCTTTAAGGTTCTGTTGAACAGAACCGGGTTAATCAGCTGATTGGGTTTCCTTCCTATTTATTTTTTGAAGGTTCTGTTTGGTTCTGACAGAACCTCGTTGACCCGGTTACTGTGTGTGTGTACAGTGACCTGGGCAGGACGCTCCCATCCCTCCGGTTCTTGGACGTCTTCGGTCTGGTCCAGGAGAACCAGCTGCCGGTTCTGAAAAAGGAGCTGTCCCTCATCAACATCAACTCCAGACCCTTCTCCTGCGTGGCCCGGCCCACTCCGGCCACCAGGACCGGCCTGCTCCAGCCAGACCGCAGCATGTGGGACAGGACGTGCCGCCTCAGGGTCCGGTTCTGACCCGAGCCCCAGTGGGTTTTACTTCCTGTTGCAGAACTGCTGGCCTGTTGTGGTCTCACTGGTTCTGCTGGGTCCAGTAGGCCCAGGTCTGATGGACTGTTTGGACTCAAGTCAGAATAATGTGTTGAATTAAAACCAGTTTTAAAGGTTCTGATCAGCAGCCGGGCCGAAGGTTCTGATCAGCAGCCGGGTCACAGGTTCTGATCAGCAGCCGGGTCGAAGGTTCTGATCAGCAGCCGGGTCACAGGTTCTGATCAGCAGCCGGGCCGAAGGTTCTGCCTCTCAGTAATAATGTGGATGGACTTTTATCAGAACTTCGTGTTTGGACTCAGATTTTAAAGATGTTCACGTTGGAGAACTTTTTTAAATAAAATCTCTGAAACTGATCGTTTTTCTTCTGACGGACCCGAGACCAGAACCAGCTAACAGGGTCACTCTGGACCAGAACCAGGTCGGGGTTCTGTTGATTTAATGGAACACTGAATAAAAGTTCTGTTGAACTGCTGTTCATGGACGCAGACAGAAGACAGACTCCGGGTTCGGGTCAGGACCGGGTGGTTCTGGTTTATTACAAAACTGCAACAACAGGTTCTAAACATTTCAGGGGGCTGGATTATCTACAGACAGATTATCACAAAGGTTCTAGGAGCTTGACAGACTGGACCCAGAGTTCTGGACCTGCAGGGAAGGTCGGGTTTAGCAGAACCAACATTTGGACTTTAATTCCTGTCTGTTAATCTGCGTTTGAGTTAAAAGGTTTTAATCTGGACTCAAACGTCAGCGGCTGGATTTAATCTGAGCCCCCTGGTCATAATTTACAGATGGTATATTTAGAAAAGTTACCATGGCAACACAGAAACTCATTTATTGTACAAACAAACGATCAGCTGGACCTACAGGAAGTGGCGTGCAGAATGCTACGAAGGCGGCGCCGTCGTCCAATCAGAGCTGCTGAAGACTTCTGCACGGGCGCCGGGTCAAACGACACGAGAAAGATTAGAAAGAAAAGAACTTTTTACACCCCCACCCCGAACAGGACGTGTGGATCGGAGCGACGAAGGTCTCAGTCATCCTCGTCCTGCAAACAAACAAAGATGAGTTCAGGGGCCGTCGGAAATCTCAACTTCATTTTATCAGAGTCAGAACCTTCGGGCAGACCCATAAACAAAGTTACAGAACTTTGAGTCGGGTCCGTGGTTCTGCTCCAGTTCTACCCACTCGGATGTTCTGGATAACCTGGTCTTTGTTTCATTGTTAAACGTGTCCATATTTTGTAGTGTAAATATTTTCCAGAGTTTTATCTCCGTTGCTCTATAATTTGACGACACCTGCTCCACGTAATCCACTTTCAATGATCCTTACCTGAATAAATCTAGACTTTGTGAGATTATCTCAGTGATGCACATTATTACTCACGCAACTGTTTGTTGAAGCACGGCGAGTTATTTCACAACCATGTGCTCATTTAAACAAGTGCAGCAGTATCTCCTCCAGAGACGGTCCTGCAGCCCTGAGGGACTCCTCCAGAGACG